ACACAAACACGCCTATGTACAGAAGCGCGGGGAGCCGTAAGAGATCGAGCGCTCGATTCGTTTTAGTCGACGATCCACTGACTGGTGTTATGGCCCTGGGGTGCCTCTGCAAATCGACTGCAGAAGCCACAGGAACGCAGAACTACAAAGGCTGCGAATCGGGATTTGGACAACAACGACATGCGAAAGGGGATTTCGGACTAGAAGAATGGAGTGCTAATGGCGATGTCGGACTGGAAGAGTGGTATGCAGTGGAGAAAAGCACATCGCAAACCCACAAGGACAAGGACTTCTGAATTCCAGCATGCATGTCCAGTACCCTATCCAACCCTCCCGCTTTCCAACCTTCCGGTAGCAATGTCAACATCCCGAGCATGGACTAACAAGAATAGTGAATAGAAAAACTCAACGTGTCCCCAGCTTGCAACTATTCTTGCCTGCGCATCCCTCGCTCTGCCACGGGCACGGGCCCGCCACGGGCCCAGCACGGGCTCACGGGCCGACAGGTCCACGGGCCCGACCCCCGAAAAGACCATGGCCCCCCAAGCAGACAGAGACCTCGACGGAATCTCCTGGTCCAGGACTTGGAAAGCAGTCCTTCGCGAGAAAAACGACCCTAGGCCAGCAGCTTGAACGAAGCTTCAATGGTCTGTGCATCCAGCAAGCATTTTCGGGCCAATAGAGTTCCACACGCCACGCAACCACGACTTAATGGCTGAAGTGATAGACAGACTGAACGCGGAAAAACATAAAAGCGTTCGCAGAAGAGCAGTGTAAAAGAGCGCACCCGCCAAAGATCCAGCTGCCTGGATCTTCGAGTGCTGTGAGCTGAGAGCTGAGTCAGCGGCCTCTGTGGACTCAGTTGCCTCCGAGGACGGGAACCGGGAAAAGAGGACGAGCGTTCTGCTTTCCCATTGTCTGTGTTCTCCCTCTCTCTCTCTCTCTCTCGCGGATGATCGTTGCGCCTGCTGCAAGGGCCGAAGGGGCTCTTTGCCCTCGGCTTCGTCCAGTGCCAGAGCCAGCACCTGAGAGCGGAGAGAGGTTCTCTTCTGGCGCGAGAGGCTGCGAGAGACGCAGTGCCGACTTCGGCATGCCTGGAGCTGCTGCTCGAGCTCCTCAACTGTACCGGGCGACTGTCGAGTCAGCCAAGAATCACCGGGGCGAGGCCCTCCTGGCGCACAGCGCGCTGCTGCTGGCGCTCGCGGAGACGAGCCACCTGGAGCGAGGCGCGCTTCGATTCCAGGGCTTCGGAGCAGGTCGGGGGGTTGGAGGGTCGGATCCTCCACGGAGCCACGGCTCGCCTGCAGGAGATCGGACCTGCCGGTCAGAAAGCTTGGTTTTTTCTTTCCCTCTTCGCTCTTCCCTCTTCGCTTCTAGGACCGCTGCTGGGCTTGCAGCGCCTCGCACTGCTTGGTAAGAGCCCTGACCTCCGACGCGGGCATTTGCATTTTGTGGTGATATGCATTCCACCCCCACGCCATGCCTTCCACAAAAGGAGCGTCTTATCTTCGTCGGTGGTCAACTTCCGCAGCTCTGTGTTCTCCTCCTTGAGTTGCTGCACCTGCCATGCACCAGAACAGCGTCCTTATCTTAAGACTTCGTCTCAAGCTGGAGTGCCTCGGCCCGGAGAGATCTTAGCTCCTTATCCTGCATCTTGATGAGGTCTTTGAAATGCTCAGCCACATCCTGGCGACAGGAACCCTGGCGCGCGTGCTGAGATGTCGCGAGACCGACCTCGGCCATGCCGGCTGCAGGCGAGCCGGCACCGCCCCCACCTCTGAAGCCACGGAGCGAAAGCGGCGAAAGCGAAAGCTACGCACGCGCCGCACCTCGCTCCAGCCAGATGCGGACCTTGCCAGGGGGGGACCGCGTCTACATGGCCACTCCCCGTGCCAGCGCGCACACCGAAGGGCTCCGGCCATGGCTTCCTGGATCTCCTGGAAGCGCCTCGCCGCCGCCGCCGCGAAGCCTCGACGCGCGCGGCGCGCGCGTCCGCTGCGCTCGGAGTCGGAGCTTGCGCAGAGCCAGAGCCCGCCGAGCCCGCCGAGCCCGCAGCCGATGGGATAGCGCCGCAACCGGGAGGCCTCTCGAGACAGAAATTTTGGGCTTGGGCTGCCCTGTGCCCTTCCACAGGCGGCAGACGGATGTGTCGACGTTGAGGCACCGCAAGAATTCCTCGAGGTGTCTCGGCTCGTGCAGGGCAGGGATGTGGAACCCTCAGTCCCAGCACCTCTGCTGCACGCGTGAAGGCGTCCACACCTGGAGTGCATAGCAACAGCCCCGAGTGGAGACGGGCAGCCGGACGCCCCCGCCGACACGGGCTGCCAAGATCTCCATGAGCCGGCCCTGACTGACAAGCGCGTCCTCCTCCAATCAGCTTCAGGTGTGAAAGGCGGAGCGCAATGAAAACAGTGAGCGCAGTGCCTGGGAAGGGAGCTGCAGCAAACAGGTGCCCAGAACCAAAGCAGTGAGGCCGCGGACCTTTCCGGAGTGCACGGAAAGCCTGCTGGCAGTCAGTACCGCACTTGGGCACCAGGCATGGACCCCCTGTGAATCCGAGGGCGAAGTCGAGGGCTCAAGCAGGGCCACCAGCTCCGGCAGCTGCGCTGGGGAGCGGGCCAGAACCTGCCAAGTCAAACTCACCAACAGAGGACCTTGGACTCAACCACAAGATAATTGCTGAAGGGTTCGCGCGAACCCGCGCTCTGGCATGTCTTCCTTGGCCTGAAGCAGCCCTGAACCCTCGGGCACACGAGCCGTCATAGTTCCATCTCTTGCCGAGTATTTTTGGCGAGTCGTAGTCGGGTGATCTTGTTGAATAAAACAGTTACTTCGAAAACTCGTGCCTGTTCTTGTTCGAGGCCAAAGCCGAAAGGAACAGCAGCAACCATGATATTGACATCGACACCAACCGAGCATGCTGCAAACTTCGGATGCTGCGCCTCTGACGCTGAAGTGCAACCGTTGCACCACTCGGCCACGAGCTGCAGAAGAGAACACAGCGATGCGCTTGGGTCACCCACCACTGCCTGAAGTTGCACAATCGACTTGTGCCGTCCATCAAGACGAGCCTACACATCCTTCAATGGATTTTTGTACTCAAAACAGGTCTTCGCCAAGCAAACCATTTGCTGAGCCTTCTCCGACTGCGACGTGAACTCCTTCGTCCACGTTTAACGAGGTCAGTCCAACCCAATGTCGCCACGTCTGCCTATGCATATGGGTGGCACTTGTGTGGCCCTTTGGGCCTGGGCAGCTTGGGATCGCCAGGCGCGTGCCAAGCCGGCCAAAGGTCCAAGGACTTCCGACAGTAAGCTGCTGCCCTCAGCTCATGTTGACTCACTGCAGCATGCATCGCATTCCAAGAACCCAGCCTGCTGGCTTGCAGAGGTCCTTTCAAATGGCAGATGTGCAAGTTCTTCTCTGTCTCTCTGTCACCCTGTTCTGCCCCTCCCACGAGGAAGCTCCGAAACCTGTCACCCGTGTTTGTTTGTGTTCGTTCGGCGGTATACCGCGCAATCCACTGGTCAAAAAACTAGAAGACATGTGGCCCG